AGAGACGGTGATTGCATGAGCTCGGGTATAGTTTATCTGATCTCCTGTAAAACGTGTGGTGACGAATACACTGGCGAAACGGGTAGACCCCTCTAGGTCCGCATGAAAGAACACCTAGCCGGCAAAAATAGACCAAATACCCCGCTAGACACGCATAGGACCCAGAGACATAACGGGGACGACTTCGAAGTATGTGTCACGATCCTCGCACGCGAATCAAGAACACAGGCGCGAAAAACTCTCGAGGCACTCTGGATTAGTTCCAGAAATCCGAAAATGAACCGCAGGGANGAAACGGGTAGACCCCTCTAGGTCCGCATGAAAGAACACCTAGCCGGCAAAAATAGACCAAATACCCCGCTAGACACGCATAGGACCCAGAGACATAACGGGGACGACTTCGAAGTATGTGTCACGATCCTCGCACGCGAATCAAGAACACAGGCGCGAAAAACTCTCGAGGCACTCTGGATTAGTTCCAGAAATCCGAAAATGAACCGCAGGGAAGAATGTCTCATTACCACGCGTGATATAGGGCAGTATATAAAACTGCTTTTCTGATGTGAAGGGCACATTATACTTCCATGTGATTTCTGTGCGGTTGGTCTCTACGTGACATACTTAGTGGAAACCTCATAGGAAGCGGTGAGTGTGCAAAGCTGTGTTCAAAGTGATTGAAATATTGGTTTGGAGTTTCTTTGTTTGGTTATGGAGGCGTCTGGCCGAGTAGATTGCTATCAACTGGACCTTTCCAGGCTCTGAGGAAGGCGAAATCCGCCGAAACGTCAGCTTAATCGTGAACAAAGAATAATAACACCTCGCATTTGCTCAACAAAAATACGAAGAAAATTACTTGATCAATGCCGAGGTTAATAGAAAGTCGGTCGTGGCCGTTTCTACACACAGCTTCCTCAATCAACCGATATCGGAAGCTCTTTATATGCACCTGAGGAATGACTTGCCACCACACTACTTTGATGATGCTAGGTACTATGCATACAGTTCTCAAGTGATATCCTCGGATTATTATCCAGCACGTACGAAGTCGCACGAGCTGTATGGTACTTAAAATAGTATTTTATCTTTAAGATTCAATAAAAGGAAGCAAACATAAGATGGTTAATCATGTAATAAGAAAAGTTGGAGAGTCTAGACGAAGGGGCCAGTGTAGTGGATCCCAACAGGATGCAAGCATGCAATATGACGACCACTTACATGACAGTCGAATGCGCTTGTGACTCTCGTCAACCAGCTGTATTCGCAGCTGGATACGACTCATGGATCACACAGTGATGCCTACAAATTCCATTATGCTAAAAGCAGACTGCCGTCATAGACGGTCATCGCAAGGGGACGAAATGAATGTGAAAAATGATTGGCCTGTACGACTCATGAAGACGGAACATTACGGTTTCCAAATTAAGAAAAAGTGGTACAAACAATATTGGCATTATTAGGCATACTGAGTTCGAATTATTCTGTGGAGATGTGTGGTAGCCTGTAGTAGTTGGTTGAAATGATACTATTAAAGGCGCCTCAGGTACTCCAGTCGTGGTTAGCTGAGAAGATGGTGGATCTGTAAAAGGTAATAATGACTTTTATCAAACAGAAAATAAAATAGGAGGCTGAAAAAACCGAAGACCTACTTATTTCTGCAATATTTGCTATGCTTGGTTTTGAAGAAGCGAGACTTGTTGGCGGAGTTCCTGCATGGTCTTAACGAACTAGTTCTCATATAAGCCATAATTTACACAATTTTCAGAATGAATAGCAGATTTTTTTAATTTTTTTTTATATTTTTTAATGATTATTTTCTTCACCTGCAGTCTTCACCACGATAGGTGCGCTCTTATTTGGAACTCTATCGGTTGATGGCGCGACCGTAAACTGAAAATAGCGAGAATTTTCCACAAGCCACACGAAAACCTGGATACATAACGCTTTAATGCTGCACATTTGAAAAAACTAGCAAAGAATAATGATATCAATGACGTATCTATCCTCACCTGCCCTCCAGATCCCATCTGAGCAAATCGGAACGTATTGTCATTCTGTTTTTGGACTACCTGTGTAGCTTGAACAATTCTTGGTTGCGTAAGCGAAGGTACATTGGTGATCACCGTTTGTTGTGTATGCGCTGATAAGGGTCCTTGTTGCAGTGGTAAGATGTGAGCAACTCGTCGTTGGATATTTGTTGAAGCCGTCTCCGGTTGAATAGAGGCGATCGGTTGACTAGTGTTTGGTTGTGGAGTAGCACGAGTATGACTAGACGAACTAAGTTTATGTTCTAGTGGAAACGTAATTCAAATCCGCTTCTAGTGAAGAACTTACTATGATAACATAACCGGATGACTAGATCCTGGGATATACTGGACAGAAGCGACTCCAACCGGCGTGCCTTTAGAATCGGTGAGCTGTAACCGAAATTTCTTCAAGATTTATACCAACAGATATGCTCTACGAAACGTTTCTCGAACGCAAGCATCCCGGTAACTTTTATAATTCCTTGTATTCCAAAGCGATCTAGGCTAGTTGTTAATGAATCTATCATTCGCAAAGAATACAGAAACGACAACCACGAGAGATACATTGACTATTCCATAAACTTAGAAATGCTTGCCGTTGTGTTCACAATAACTGTTTCAGGAAAATTATTATTTCGGCCATGAATCTGGCCATGCACATCAGGGAGATTGATCAGCACCTGGGACACTCTTTCCAATTCAAACATCTCGAAAACATCTACAAACATTGCTTTGAAGCCCTTAAAGAAGACACATCCTAAGCGCTTCTCTTATTCAAATTGACAAGATATTTCGAATAAGTATATAATATATATATACGCTCGAAAACCATTGAAATCTACCTATTGAGCTTTTGCGCCCAAGAATAAACGCATTAAAGGAACAAAATAGTATGTTTTTATTCACTCAAACCGGGTACCAAATTTTTATGTTTAATGTTATGGAATAAGTGATGATCGAAGAGCGCTGATGATGGTCCGCCTACAACGTACAGAAGACACAACGGTCATAACTGAAATGCTTGGGAACATTTATCAATCCACGTATTTCCTTGCGATGAACGAGTTTTCAAAAATTTTAGTAAACATCCGAAAATCAGAACGAATTTTCGCTGTATTGCCTTAACTAGGAAAAGTCTTGATGAAAAAACATGTTCGCTTCCGTAACTTATTCCCTCTGCAACCTTGGTGTGCTGTTAAGTTCAATACTAGCTAACAATTGTGTTTCTCGACAAAATGTGTGCAGTTTGACGCTTTAAATACGTCAGTGACGACAGCACACGATTTTACATCGCTGACACTTTCACACTCAAACCACTCATACGTACATACATACATACACACATATATACATATATACATACATACATACACCACACACATACACACACATACCCCATATATAGCGTCAAACAGTGCATTATGCATTTTAATCGACGTTTGCAATTTTAGCCGATCATTACCACAAACTTGGTGATATCACCAACCTGAACAAGCTGAGGGGACAGCTGCAAAACGACCGGACGTCCGAGATAATCGGAAATTCCTACCGTGCTTCTGAAATCAGTTGCAAATTTCTAGTGATTTTAGCATCTTTCATCGACTTTCTGATATTTTCCGAAGTAAATAGATTCTTAACGTTTGACTTGGTGGCACTCTTTAACACATTTAGAAATTAAAGCTTAACTTGGAAATTGAGTAGTAATATTCCACATTATTCATTTTTTTATTACACCAAACTTATTCGCTCTGTAGGCGAAACGGAGGACCAGCACGGTGTGGTGGGGAACGCGTTAGCACCCGAAAATGGTACTAGCGCGTAAGTCCCCCTCACCAGACACCTGCGGTCCGGAGTTTTGCAAATTTTTCAAATATCTCATCACCACTATGGTTGTATTTCACGTAATACTCTGTCGTGAGAAATCGTAGTAGGCAGTAAGGAAAAAAGAGTTAACATTGCGATTTCAATTATAGCCTGAGCTTAATAGGGCTCTATATCAATTTGCGTTCCTAAGATCAACCCCGTCGACGGGTGAATGCTGATGGCATTGGTAGGTAGAAAACTAGCCGAGAGATAGGGGAAACGAAGAACCGCATGGCGCGGTGGTGGTCGCGTTAGCCCGCGAAAAGGGTAATAGTGCGTTCGTTTCCCACCGCATACACCTGCAGTCCGGAGTTTTGTAAATATCTCATCATCATTGTGGCTGAATTCCACATAATACTCTTCCGTGAAAAATTATATCAGGAAGCAAATAAAAAAATTAACACAGTAATACTTTAATTTTGAACTCTTTGCTTAAAGCACATTGCATTGAATGTCTTATGAACACCAACCTTATCTGTTCTGTAGGATATTCGGGGACCTGTGCTGGCGCCTGAAGTTGGCAAGCTGAAAAATAAACCAATAAACAGCAATTTCTTCAAAATTCCTGGTTTCCGTGCATTAATACCAGCTGGTCCCGTTTGCATTGTTGGTTCAAGAATTTCCTGGGCAGGTGGTTGTTGCCCTTCTTGACTGGTGTTTGATGTTGTACTACTGGAGCTGCTGTTACTAAGCTGAGCAGGTTCCGGTGTAGGTGAAGGTGAAGCGCCCAGAATCGCCTTTTCAAATGGACGCAGTCGTTCCAACAACTGAGGTTTTGCACCTAGAAACAGTAAAATAAGTAGAACAAGTAGAACAGTTGTTGTATAGAGCATCTAAATCACTATACACTCTATAGAAAAAACGCATTTTGCAGATTCACAATATAGGAATAATAAACGATACGGAGGTCAAACGAAAGCTGAAAAAGAAGGAATAAAATTAATAATGCGAGAAACGCAACAACTAAAAGTCAGTTCGATCCTGCCCCGTGCTAACCAAGCTCCCATTCTCTCATAGTCGGTGAGGTGCTATCAGACTGGCTTGTCTGTAAAAAATGCATTCCGATTCATAAACGTCACCGACTCGTCGTGGTGAAGATCTGGAAAGACTGCAGCAGGGGTATCCCAAAATTCCACAGAGTCGTTCGATAAATATTCAACAATATTGGTAAGGAAGAAAAAGTCATTTAGTAGCTGAACTCGCTCATACTCATGGATGGCTGATGCTAGAAAACGAATAGAATAAAATAATTACTGAGAGCTGCACAATACGTGAAGGTAGGTCATGTAAATAGAAAACAAACAAAATAAATTACTGGTTCTAACGGCATTGCTCATGTTTATTTACAAAGCTTGCAATTCTCCTAACGGTTTACCGCCTCATCGCGGCTGGGAGGTGTTCCTAAGTGTCGGGTAGTGGTGCACAGCGGAGGGATTCATCATCCCCCACCAGAGTCTCTCAAGCTGAGATGGAGTTCGGCGGTCCCATCAGGAAGCCCATTTAACAGTAAACGAATGCCAGGAGCGATCACCGTCCTGGTATCAGACTAGTCGCATGGTGGCAAATCTTTCTCTGATCCACTCCGAAAAAGTGGAAATTATGCTGGGGCCCGCACAATCAGTGAGGACGAGCCATCCAAGTATCCAGATAGGTACGTGTATGGTTGTAATACTCACATAAGAATGCTCACCTTATTCAACGCATATAAATTTTTATTTGCAGTTTGAGAATGGGATGAAGTTTTTCAAAGTTGGTGCATAAATCGAACCTACACGCACTATTGTGGCAACGACGGCTCATTGTATCACATATTACCATTAGCTCGATACAAAAAAAGGAAAAAAAAATACACAACACAATACCTTTTTACACCTTAACAACATTAATCAAAAAAAGTGAAAAAGAAATTTAAAAGCATAAGAAAGCAAAATTCCGTAAGCCAACTAGTAAGTACCGATGATTTTTGTTCAGAAGAACAGGATTTTCCAAGTTCTCTGTGGGAGATTCTTCTTTTTTATTTGCACATTTCATTCAATTCCTTTCCTGCATGAGGTTGCAGTGTTACTCGGAAAGTCTCAAGGCAAGTGCAATATCAAGTTTTACTTCAATAATTTAAAATTTTTTCTTGATTTAGCGAGGAGCAGCTATATAATGTGGCGCCACTACCTGGTAGTACTAGTTATGGTTCGACCACGTCTAGCGTGTCTGGAAAGGTCACTAGTCATTTTCGGCACTAAAGCAGCAGTTTGAATCTACATTAAATTCTGAGATTAAAAATAGACTTCGTCGTTATCGTAAAATAGGACTGTGTTACTCCAGATCCAAATGCATTGGATAGTAATGAAAAACCTTACTCAAACTAAAAATCTATAAAATTAGTATGAATATTCCAAATATTTAAACCATAAAAATAGCATCAAAGCTTTGAATAATAAAGCTATAGGTTGAAAAAGATGGATATAGACAGTGGAAGGTGAACGATGGTGGCGTAAGGTCCGGAAACACTTAAGCGGTCACTAGCGAACGGCCGCTCATTACAAACAAATGCTTAGAAGTAGAGTGAAAGTGAGAGTGAGAGGGAAAAAGCCACGAACCGAGTCTCATTTTTGCGGATTTTAACCTCATTGTGAAAAAATTTATGACGACAAGAAATCATTGGTCACAAATGCATTAACAAAATCTGATAATTTACAACACCCCGTTGATATTCGACAAATCTTCGTTTCTTTGTTTCGCCTAAGCTAGCAGTAGTAGTACAGGATCCGTAATAGGCCAATTCACTGCTATATTCTTTTGGTGCCTATTTCATTCACAACCATATCAAAGCTGAAAGTGGCTACGGATACCACTATTTCATAAGATGCATGTTATTCACCTATCATTTGAAGAAAACTGTTAGTCTAGGGATTCAAAGATAAGTGATAAAGCGTTCAGCGTTGATCAATCCCTGAGGGGTGTGTCAAGCCTCAGACTTTATCAAGAATCACTAGAGATGATTGAATGCATATATGGCCTATACAATGACTTGCGGTGGCCTACCAATGTATAAAGTCAGTGCTCCTATTCTCCAAGACAAGTCTTGTATAAATCTGCCTATCCCGACGGTAAGGAATGCTTGGTGAGGCTGGGACGCGAAATCTGCTTAAATACAGTGATAACCAGCAGGATATTTCAAAATTTAACAGACATAAAGTAGTTACAGACTCGTAAAAAATGCCAAACAGTTTCCGTTCCACAAAGTTCTAACGTCCTCAAAAAATTTCATAAAAAAAACGCATGACTGTTTTACGGAGGATAAGACGTATACAGATGAACAGAATAGCAATAGTTGCATGAAAGTGCCATGATTGGCTCAAAGTAACCAAATATATTATCTGATCCTTCTATACACTTGGTGCCGAGAATTGTTCTAAAAAAACACAAAAAGTTAGTAGAAAAAGAAAAAGAAATAAATCGATACCTGACACCGGTAGCTGTCTCTTTTTGCACTCATTTTTCAACTCCTGAACCTTATAGTCACTCAGACGTCTTATTGTTACCTAAAAGTAATATTTTCTAGGCCCTGAATTTCCTAATACGTTTTTGCAGCATACTTGAGTAGGTGGTGAAGATGTGCGACTGGTTGGTTGCATGTCATACTGCATTTGTTCGTCCTGAATTGATATGAAAATTCCAGAATCAATCTTATAACCACAACAATAAAAAACACCTGAGACTGCGCTGGATTATCGTCGTTGTGTTGCCATTGTAGAAATAATTTTTGTTGTTGAAGTAATAGTTCGTAGCTGTTTTGTTCGCAAGCTTTTGCTGTCTGAGTGAAAATCCACTCCATTTTTTGGTTAAATATTATTTTGTTAACCGCAGAAAGAAAAAAGCTCTATGGCATAATAACTACAGAATAATTTCTACATGCGTAGTCACAGAAACCACAAATTAAGTACAAAAGTTCATAGCTCGCAATTTGAACATGGATTGATGAAGGGTACTTTTAGCAGTTTTTTTTAGCGTTCATAAGGATAAACCAATAAGCTTATACCTCTTCAACAGGCGACCGAACCTCAGCGATCACTGTCACTTCGTCATCCTCTCTGCTGTCTGGAGCTTTCGTTTTAGCCCGTAGAGGTAACGGATCACATTGTTTGTATGGTGTAGATTTCTGCAAACATAGGGGAAAACCGATCAGAAGAAGCCACGCATTAAAGAAAGAAAGATAAAAGAAAACATAAAATTTCAACACCGATATGGAAAAAGAACACCAAATGTTAGATCAACAGGATTTTTCCGATGCGCTACAGTAATAGCAATAGGTTTTGATAAGACGGACAATAGTGTTTGTATTGATGTATAACGAACTTTTCTAATCAGTCCCTTGTTTGACAGAACATTGACAGGTTTGTTTTGGACACGAATAGCAGCCTGAGAAACAATTTCCATATCTGAAACTTCAGGAAATAACCGCAGGATTCGTTAATCTGATTCTACGATCACATTTGATCTTCACTGCGCTTTGAATAGAATGATAGCAAGCCTCTGCGCCAACGCATTTACGCTGCGCATAGGTGTTGGTGTACTTTAAAAATTGTAATCGATGGAAGGAATCAGAAGAATATACTCATATTCATCAATACTTTGAAGAGCCATAACATAATAAATGTAAAACCGACATTCATTTGTAGATGACGCTGCGGGCACTCACGGACAATTATTGTCATTGTGCTTCAAAAAGGAAAAGATTGTAAAGGCTAGAATTATTTGGTTCTTCAGAAATAAATGAGCGTTTTTAACAATGTTATTTAAAATGCCATAACTGGCTTCAAACAAAAATTACTAATCAAAATAAAAGCCATTTGAATCTATACATTTCTGCCAACGAGAGAAAAATTTAGTTATTTCAGTCGAATAAAATTCTGGAGTTCTGGAAGCGATGAATTCGTTGAAGGCATTTTTTGCGTCGTCGTGGTTGGTGAAGCATTTCTCGTGTAGGAAGTTGTCAAGGTGCTTGAAGAAGTGATAGTCGGTAGGCGAGAGGTCTCACGAATATGGCGGATGAGGCAAAGTTTCGTGGCCCAGCTCGTTCAACTTCTGCAACGCTAGTTCCACAACGTGAGGCCAGACGTTGTCGTGGAGGATTGGTTCTTTTCCGTTGACTAATGCAGATCTTTGTTCTCAGGGTTTACGGTACATTTCGTCGATTCGTTGGCAATACTTCTCTGCCGTAATCGTTTCGTCTGGATTCAAAAAGCTATGATGAAAAAAAAAGCTCAAAAAGCTAGTCGCCCCAGCAGGAGACCACCGAACAGTCACCATAACGTTCTTTTGGTGCAATTTCAGCTTTGCAAAGTGTTGTGGAGCTTGATTGCAATCCAACCATTGAGCTGAAGTTCGCCGGTTGTCGCATAGAATCCGTTTTCGTCACATGTCACGTTTCTATCAAGAAAAAGGCCGTTTTTGTTGGGCAGAATAAGAGCAGTCGACACTTCAAAACAGCGATTTTTTTTATTATCGTTTAATTCGTGCAGCACCCACTTTCTGGGTTTTTTCGTCTTTCCTATGTGATTCAAGTGAGTGGAAATTTCTGTTGTGCTCGAGCCGAGCTGTTCTGCAAGCTCTTGAACAGCTGTTCGCATGTTTTCTTCCACTAATGTCTTCAATTCGTCGTCGTCAAGTTCATTGGGACATCCACGGACTTTCCTAACTACGAGGTCGAAATCACCAGATAGGAATTTCCGGAACAAAGTTCGCAGTGTTGATTCACCAACACTATCTTCCACCCGAACATCATTAATGTTTCGAGTCGTTTCTACTGCACTCCGACCGAGTTTGAACTCATAAAAGAAAATTTTACGAAAATTCATTTTTGACATCCAAAATTGCAAAGCTGAAAAATCGTTAAAAAGTTTAGCTTTTGACAAAATATAAAGATATGGTTAGAAAGAGCATAAAGTGAACTTTCTAATGACATCTAATATTGAAAGGTTCAAAGAATATTTTATTGGTAAAAGATACATCAAAACAACAGATATTTTTAAATGCTCATTTATTTCTGAATAACCTAACACTAAATTTTTCATATCAAACGTTAACCGAGTGAAGTTTCATTCTTTTTAGCGTGCATTTCCTATGCTGTACACGTCAGTACAATTCTGTTTATGGTAAGCGCAATTGGTAAATATGAAACTCTTCTTAACCCCGAAAAAATGTCCTTGACATGCTAGACGATTACTACTATATTTCTCCTTTCGTTGCGACTATTGAAAAAGGAATAGTGTCTAACGTTACCACGTATCTGGGAGTCATATTCCTGTCCACGTTTTTCTTTCGTTCAGAAAGTCATCATGTTCATCTAAAACGTAAATGTTCAACCTTTTGCTATTTCCCGTTCTCTAATCCTTTCTTCGCTATTCGCATTTTGAAAGAGGGTAGCACAGCAGTAGTGAGTCCATTCGTTATCGGATGGCCCAATCAACTCTAGACACAGGTTCGACCCCGCCCAGACTCACCAAACACCTCATCCTTCGAAGGAATGGGAGTTGCTACCAAACTTGTCTTTGACATGCTCACTTCCCGTAACCCACCGACAAACGCCCTATCAGGGTTCTCGCCGGATTCCAGAGGTCATCGACTGCACTAATATTCAGCGAAATTCGTAACGAAGAAGAGAAAACCCTCTAAGTAGCAGCTAATCTCCCATTTAAAAGAGTTCGAAGTATTTCGTGGTTGGTTAATGTGACGCAACCAGTCGAATGCAAGAAGTGCTGAGATGCGCGCAATGCGATACATGCGATGTCGGGTTATCTAATAATAAAAAGTAACTTTTGTTGCGACAAATAGTCGATTTGTTTCCGATTTCATGTTTCAATTTTATAGGTGAATACAAGCAATACATTCATGTGCAAATTGTTGGCCTTCCTGCGACAAATTGCTATGGCGAAACACATTGGATGAGGTCATTTTCAGCATCATTTTTTTCAAATAAAAAGACAGATAAACTGGAACCACTTGGTTTCTTTTCTTAAACTCATCGTGTGCACAGTTGGCATCTCTCATTTATGCTTTTTTCAAGGTGGATTTGTTCAGAGGATTTCCTTAGCGTTTCATTCACTTATTCACTCAATGAAGAACACTTGTGTGCGTCGGGTTTCCATGTTATAAGCACTATGTATGCTTCCAGCAGCAAGAGCACTAGTGTTTCTCTGCCTATCGTGACACCAACGCTGTTTTCAGCTTGTTTCATAACTAATTCGAGGGGGATGTAAAAGTTCAATTAGGAATATGCCGCCGTATTCTATGTACATTTGCATGATCATGGGAGGTGTTCTGAAGAATGCAATTTCGATATGCGACTCTCTCTCTCTCTCTCATAGTCTTGGATTAATGCTGAGTTCGCAAACTTTTTCTCCATTCACTTGTCTGTATGGAAACGAAGAGTACGATAATCCGTGGGATTGAAAACCATCCGAAAGTGAATGAGAAAGGAACACAGCTCAAAACATTATACTAAAAACAATGAAAAGAGTAAATTTGAAAGAAATGAGATGGAGAGAAGACGGAAAATGTACCAGATCTAGGAGCGTACCTGAGAAGTAATGATATCTCAGCAACAATAGAAAATAATTCTGAACTACTTGTTCATGTCTTGCGAATAATATAAAGAAAAGCAACTAGAAAGAAAAATCTAAAAACCTGTAGACAGTGGACTTGGCATCTCACTTTCTTTTCTTTCAACGTATTCACTTGTTGGTTGGAATAGTACTCGGCCTTCTGAAAATGCAAAACTTCCATTCAAGAGAACAGTCCCATAATGGGCAGAAAGAACGGTCTACAATTAAGGGGTGATTACCAATGTAAGTTTGCTGAGTAAAAAAAAATCATGTAAGAGATCTTCTTGAAAATTCCTGTCTTTTCATTATACGTAATAGTACGAAATGATTGAAAAGCGTATGCTCGGGTTACGATAGAATTCGTTTGTTTTGCTTGCAATTCTCATTTCCGCTTCTTCGAAAGAGCAAATATAAGCAAGAGTTCTGCAAAGCACATAGTACACGTGTGTTTTTTCTTGTTCAAATTTCTGGTTTCATTAAAATGGTAGCGAAGGTATATATGAAAATCACAAGGTTAGAAAATCACGGATTCAGTGCACAAAGTTCGATCACCAGTGAGCCAGAGAATCGATCTACCTGATATCCGTAATATAAAAACGATTTATTGAAAAAGCGCAGGTATTAAAGCCTATTGGTAGTTCATTTGAAAACAAAGACCAATTGTTTTTACTTCAACAGAGTGTTCTTTCAATATTATAAATAAATCTCGACATTTACCTTTTACATTTAAAAAAAAGCTAGTCACTTCACAACCATATAATCTTTGTTCAATTTGTCGTCGAGCGCTAGATTGAGGTTCTTCCACAGTCAGCGCCCTTTCAATCTTGACTGATTGATAAAAGAAAGATCCAAGAGCTGGTATAGGAAATAACTGTAACCCTTAAAAAATGGTATGAAACCGCATCGCCAGCTTTTCATTGAAAGGTGTTATGTACAAAATCTTATTTCATCTTTCTATTTATTTCTTCTATTTTCTTCTATTATTATTTGCTCTTCCACTTCATTCTCCTATTCATAGATTGCTATTTCCGAATAGTTATCCATTTGATAAATGTAAAACCACTATTTTCTACCACTTTATTGCGATGAATCCACATTTTCACCGTAGGTCCAGATGTTTCGTTTTTGTAACGACACGTTTCAAATCACAAATTCATGAAGGCAATGCCAGCGTCAGCGATAGGAAACGGGAAAGGGAAGTTCCTTCAAGTCTGAATCTGTCTCACCATAGGAAAACTGTGTCAACTGGCTCAAAATAGTAAAACTTTACTGCCATAGAGAGTGCCACATGCTAGCAATGTTTAGATCTCTTCATTATCCTTTTACCTCACGTGCGTGGCAAATGTTGGTTAAGTGGTGTAGTTCTTAAAACCTGTCATCACTCCAAAGTTCGCATGAATTAGTAGCGTGAAGAGATGTTTTCGCTACTTTACATCTCAGCAAATGTATAAGATTAATAAAATGATGATGCACTTTCTCTTCAGCAGCTATCATGTCGAATGGTATGATCTTCGGATAATTCGATGTTTTTCTTCAATAAGCAGACACGAGGTTGTTATTATAGAAACTATTAGGATACAATAGCCGACGTTTGGGCGATTTCACCTTCTTCAGAGCCTGGAAAGGTTAAATTGAGATGCGACCTACTCAGCCAAACACTCTCATAACCCTAGCAGATAAAACTTAGCAAATAAATTTGTATTCGCATAAGAAACAGCTTCATTTAAGCACCTACCGCTTATTTGTTGTAAGTATTTAAGTTAGTTGATGGATAGCAGCCGCACAGAGTAATACATGGGCGAGGACTGTGCCTGTGTCATGCCCATTGGATCATACTGAGGTATGGCACTAGATCACGCGTGATGACAGGACACTCCTCCTCGCAGTTCATTTTTGAATTTTTGGAATTGATCCAAGACGCTTCAAGAGCTTTACGCGCCGATGTTTTCGATTCGTGCGTGAGGATAGTTACTCCTACTTCAAAATCTTCTCCGTTGTATTCCTGCATCCTATACGCGCCTAGCGGTCTACCCGTTTCGCCAACGTATTCGTCTCCACACGCTTTACAAGAGATCAGATAGACTGTACCCGAACTCATGCAATCACCGTCTCTACCGTTAGGGCAAATTGTGCAGTTTTTCACTGTGCCCAGGCGACCATATAGGTGGCTACGAACCAGCTGGCGTCTTATAGTGTCTGGTGGTATTTCTGTCACTATTACCGAATTCTCTGGACCGGCCGTTCTTAAGCAATGTTTTATAGATGCACTTATTTTGTTCAAAATAAAGGGCGAGATGAACGGAGAACTATTCTCGCTCGAGACCTGGTTTTTCCGCTATGCCTATGCCGAGGACCTACAGTTTCGTAGCTATTCGAAATCGCTATTTGCCGCGCCAGTTTCAAGGAATCATCCTTTTGCTCTCTACCTGTGCACACACTGGCCGCGGTTCGAAACATATTTCTTATAAGCGCCCTTTTAGTGTGTGAGGGATGAGAGGAGAGGTAATGAACCACTATATTCTTACTGCTTGGCTTTCGATACCATTTTGTGTTGTAGCCATTTTCGGATAGGTTGGTTTGAACGTTTAGAAATGTAAGCCAGTTTTTTTCGGTTTCTCAAGGATGAATTTTAAGTACTCTGACTGTTCGTTCAATAACTCAAAGCATTTGTCCATCTCCTCTTGTGTAGAGCAGATGACAGAACAATCATCTATATACTTACGGTAGAGTAGAGTAATGGCCTGAGACCGATTACTGGTGCTTCCACTTTAGACATAAAGGCAACGGCAAGGGTTGGTGCCAGTCGCTGTCCCATTGCCAACCCTCTAATTTGTGCGTAATATTTCCCGGACCATCTGAAGATCGAGCAGTTTAAACAGACCTTTAAGAGGACCATAAGCTGCTGAATCGAAAAGCCATACATGTTAATAGCTCCTTCGTGTTGCTCACGAAGCTCACGGATGGCTTGCATTGCGGAGTCGTTCGACACGTTAGTGTTAAGGGCGGAAACGCCGAACGACTCCATAACGTGCGCGCTTTTGGGACGTGCGTTGCGCAGACGATCTAGGAACATTTGGGTGTTCGTGAGATGGGCTGGTACGTGTTTAAGCAACTGGTTGAGGATTAGATTTATAAACCAAGCAATTCTATCCGTAGGCCCGTCTTCACAACTGATGATGGGTCTAACTTTAAAGGTGGAGAGGTCGGTATACGCCAGATCATCAGTGGATATTAACGTATGGGTCTTGATAAGTAAGTATAAGACGGGACATGTCGGCACTTCGATCTTAAGATGCGAAATGTCTACTGGTTTGAACCTGCTGCGTTTGCTATTTTGACCCATTCGTTGTTCAGTTTTCGATTTTGACTTCTGAATTCCTTTTCAGTGGATGCGCGATAAAGAGATGCGTCTTCAAGATGTTTTTCCGTTATATCGACATATAATTGGCGAGAAATTACTACAAACTCTCCACCCTTACCACTAACTGATAGCCTAATAGTTTTTGATTTTATTAGCTCTCGAACTTGTCGCATACCAGATTTTTGCGCAGCTGTAAGGTCCGAATTAAACTTTTTCGCGCGATAGTGGTTAAGGAGGTCAGTTTCGGAGAGGAAAAGGACAGTTTCGCTCGAAAATGTACGAAATTTTATATCGACTTCGTCGTTTGGGTCTTGCTATCTGCTTCATGGTATCTTCGGATAATTCGTGTGGCGTTGGCATTCGTTGGTTTATGATGCACTTGTAGTGCAATAGTACCATTAGCAGCAAATGCCATTCTTAAGCCAGAAAGCAAATCTTATGGCAGACCATCCAGTTCAGTTTTTATTTTATGAATCTAAAGCTATGCGTCAGTGCTTTATGTAATTGCGCTTTTCTCATTCACTCAGTTTACAATATCACCCGGCTCAACTTTCGCCGAATATTACGTGAAGTTCGCAGTGTTTTGGGACTGAGTTACACTTAAGACTACGCGAGAGAAATAGTGATGTAGACAATCGAATACTCTACATTCCTCAAATCCTTACCCCATTTTCTTGAGCGTATAGTATGAGCGAAAATCCTTAATATGGGTTAACGAAAAGAGTGGAGAACATTGTTCTCTTAAATCGAAAGGTCCCTAAAAACCGTTTACTAGATGCAGTGTTGGAAATTTAATACATAATAAAGCATATCCAAACTCAAAACATTTTTCCAAGTTTTGTTTTTCCAGGAAAACAGGAATGTCGCATAATAAAAGCAAAATTCCACTTAACAATAGATGGATTAGAAATGTGCAAAAACCTTATAACATATAATTTCACCTAGTACAAAGCAAAAATCAGTAATTAAAAAGAGTAGTCCCACAAACAGCAAGGTTATCATTCTTTTCATTGGTTTACGATAAAAGCTGACTTTCTTTGCTCAAAAGGCTTCAGAATACGGATAGTGTAACGCCAGCTACTACAATCATTCCATAAATCGGACCGCTTATGCGAAGTTCTTCTGGCAGAAAGAACGTCATCTTTACACAAATGCACTTGCCTCTTTGCATATCTGCTGCACGATGCCGATTCTCATAGCCAGTCTATTAATCTCATGCACATAATGTGCTCATCGAATGAAAAAGAGTTCGATATGAATAAATCGTCAAGTTCACCTTCGATAGCTTGTTCAAGATCAGCGTCAGCTTGCAGAATTTTTCGCGTCACCAATTCAAGTGGACCAGGTCGCGATTCTAGTTTTCGACTTAGATTCCGACGTATGCGATCTTGTCGTAGTAGACGAGCACGCTGCTCTATCAACGGCGCTACGCGGCCATCTTAAACAGAAAATAACGAAGAAAATCAAAAGAAAGCAAGGTTAAGAATACAATGGCGAAATATTTACGGAGCTGCGAAACCTTTGCTTCTGGATCTAAATTTCTTAACACACGATTTTTTATTTGCTGTCCCTTCCAACGGTTTATCGCTTCATGGGGGCTGGGAGGTGTTCTTGGATGTTGGGCAGTGATGTAGGGCGAGGGAATTCATCTTCATGGCAAGGTCTCCCAAGCTGAGAAGGAGTGCAGCGTTTCCGTCAGGAAACTCAGCTATGGGTAAACCAATACCACGACCCACCATCGTCCTGGTATCAAACTAGTCGTATGGTGGCAAATTTCCCTCTGATACACATGGACGGCAACTACGGCAACTATCAGGTGTGGTGATGACTTGGGGCAGACTTCAGCTCTGCTATCGTCGGGACTGCAGGAAACCATAATAGCTAAGCAAGGAAATCTTGGGACAATGGGAATTATGCTGGGGTCCGCACAACCATTGAAGACGGGTCATCCAAATATCCAAGTAATTAAGGAAGTATTTTCTGTCCAATATTTTCTTTCCATGGCAGTGTATTATGGGTAACAAGTGAGCACCCGGAAACGGTAATTGCGGGTTAGAATTTGGCCTGTGGTCCAAGTTTTGCAGATATCTCAGCATCATTGTGGTTGCATTCTTTCCCAAAGTTTTTTATTTGTGCGAGAATATATGTCCAGAATATCAGTGCACAAACTAGTACGGAACCTTGTAAGGAGTAAAGTGAAAAGTAAAACAAAAAAAATGTTACGTTAAAAATTTGTGAGGCGATAAATAAGCCCCAAATAAGAAATTGAATGAACATCACCAGTTTTCATAATATAAGTGCTGTAAACTGCCGTTCAAATCAAAGACCTCACCAGCTTACTGTCACATTAGGCTCAACACTACACTCTACAAGAATTTCTTTCATTTGAGGGATTTAAAAGTGAGAAGCTAAGTGTTAAGTGCCTCCCCAAGTGATGAGCATTGAGTAAGACACAGATCAAAAGCGGACACATACTTGTTGTGAAACCTAGGTGGATTAACGGAATGGAATCCCCTTCTTCGTTATGCTGAAATAAAGTAGGTATTCACGATAAAAGTGCTCATACCCACCAATGCGTAGGTATACTTGAATACATAAAATAGGTTACATCTGAAGATGATTTGGAAGAAAATGTGCAAAAAAGGGGGTAGCAAAGAAATGAAGTTTGCATTTACCCTTGATCAAAAAGCCTTACTTTTAGACCGGGAGATCTATATAAACTACCTATGAGTACACCCAAACACTGTGGAAGCGCCCCGCAAGCTACATGCGGGCATCATCAGGCAGTTATCTCATCATTAAAGCAAAATAAAGAACATTATATAAGAATTGTAATTCCTTTCGTAATTCTTAACAGACAAAGTAACTGGATAGCTCTGCAGCGACGTAGAGACGAAAGGAGATGGTGCTGTTGCCCACTTGTGTCATGACGATTAACGGGATCACACAGGTGGTGGAACAGGTGAATATCACAACCCTACTTTTCATACAGAAAAAAATGCAATGTATTATCCATTGGAGAAAAATCATCATGAAACCTACACCTACCAGATAGTAGAATATGCTGATTTAGCAGACGTTCTCGAGATGGGCGTTGTTCGATCTTTTTTCTCAACTGCTCACCTCGAGCAGTGGCCCACCCTGAAACAATCTGGTGTCACTCATGTGTGGGCGTTAAACATCCGCTTCGAACCACGTGCTATCATCGAATTCCACGATAGAGTAAACTTTTTCCACTGTCCCTCAACCGAACGAGCAAATACAGAAACTAGTTGAGATTGTATGTTTAGATCTTATACATCGATAATGATAATCCCTTACTAATAATAACTACATAGGTATAACAACTGCACATATATATATGCATATATATACGTATAGAGTATTTAAAGAGCCCTTTTTATACAAATGCAAACGAATTTCTGTCGAATTCTTCGCGAAGAGCGAAAAATAGGAGTTCAAAAGAGCTAAAAGTTCACATAAGTGATATTACTCTCTGCATAATTAGTGTGAAATTGGAAGGTTAGAACGTCGAAACACAGAAACGAAGAAATTAGATAGAGCAGAGATAGAAAGTAGACTTAGATATACATTTATCCTACTTTTAAGAGGCAACATTTTTCGGTAAGAATCCATAAGCCGTCAATGCACACTGTAGCTTTATTACTAAGGTACTCATTTGAAGTAAACAGAAAAGTGATCAGCACATGCATACAAATCCTATCATTCATATCATAGTTTTCATCTGCCTTGTGCACGTTTCCGGTGGCCACAGATGCGATTTGTTTCGTTTCGAATTTTGTTTCTGAAGGCATTTCTACCTATGAGTAAAAGTGACAACCAATGAGCAGTGGACAAGCTGTTCGACATTTTTGAGACTTTCAAATGTTGTCATTCACTTTTCCAGACAGTACTGGACTCAATGTCATTTTCATGTTCTCTGAACATTACACATGCACAGATCTCTTCAATTCTGAATTGAAAAGAGGATTTCTGAAAGAACACCTGAGTACAATAGGTTTTAAAGTTTTGGTGTCCTAAAATTGTTGGGTGGCTTCTATAAACATTAAAGCAAGACATCTCAACCAATTTTAACCCTATTAGTGACTTTAAAAATAGCTAGAACCTACCGAACTGTACCTACAAGATAGATTATTGATTTTCTTGCAGTCTACAACCTGTATTTATTCCAGCATATTGCTTCAAGGTTTATTTATATTCGAACACGAAAGCAAATGAAGAAGCGCGGTTTAGCCCAGCGGTACACGATGATACCTTCCAATGCATAGCTGGTGTTCATGGGATTCATGTTTCCTTTGCAACCTCAAAAAATTTGAACTTCTACCAATTTTTTTTGGGAGCTCTAATTAAAAAATGTTCAAAGTTGGAAGGAGAACTATTGAAAAAATGTTCAAAGTTGGAAGGAGAACTATTGAAAAAAAATGTATATATTATTAAGGCAATAGAACAAGGTTTTCTAGGATACAGAAATCACAATCATATTTCGGAATGCCAGCTTCGGGTGTTGCTTGTTAATGTGGTTACCGACCTAGCACACTTAAGGTGAAATTAGATACTTCAATGCAAAGTATTAGCATGTCGCTCAGAATCCATCATCTCCATCCAATTCGTTGCTCTGGTACTGGAATCTGATTAGAGTGTGTGTTTGGCTACGGCATGACGATTTGCGCTCACTTTCCTTCACGGTCTTTTTACCTTGTAGCACTATATAATTTCCTGCACTTTTAGTTACTACGATTACAGTAGCCGTAGTAATAAAACATCTACATCAACTGATTTCGGATTAGGCCGGGTTTTGTTTAGATAATACTTTCGTGGAAGCCGGATTTAAAAAGACAAAGACGTAGTAATGTAGCAGTTTTAACAAAACACTTTCTTTTCCTTCTAGGAATGTCAACAACGTCGTTGTGCATCCCATCAATGAAATCTTTTGTTTAGAACGGTACTGTTTCTCATTGAAAGTGAGTTACCGTAGAATCCATTAACTGTGGATAAGACTGCAGCAGAACAAATTCATTCTCGTTAAGCCTTCCTTTTCTGAGCTTCTACAACTAACATTTTTACTTTATGGCTTTTCCTGATGTTGAACCAAAGTCATCAAAAACCAATTTGCAAAACTATTCACTGCAACGATCATTCTTTCAGCTCACTGTAGAATGCGTCATGCTCGCAGTCGTCAGCTGCAGGTGTTGGTAAATAGCACAAATGCTTTTACCGTTTTTTGGCTTAGAAGCTGGAGACGGAAAAAAGCTAAGTAAGATGGGAAGATCGTATGTAAGTCAACATGAAGGGCAACACACGTTTGTATAACTAAGGTGACGCCACCGACATTTCGTGACGTTATCTTCTCACTGGAGATAGTCATTCCATTAGGACTTGCCCGTAATGCCATTTGCTGTCTATCGAAATGAAAATGATCAGTTCAAGCTTAATGCATACCAGCTTTCCGTCCAGGTTGCGTGCATGTGTAATTGCAGATAGTAGGTTCTACAAATTATGGGCCTCTGCAAACTAAAATCTTTCATTATCAGGTAAAACATCGCGTTTACTAGATGCATTCTATGCAAACATGCGGAATTATGTCCTATTTTCTGTACGATAGTAGTATCCGTTAAAAAACAATGATGATTAGGCCTGCTCTGATTGAGACTTATGGAATGATTACTGGATGAAATCGCTTCAACAAGAAACCAGATAAAATGAATGGTTTTTAGGTCAATGTTGACTTTAAAAAATGAGAACACCCACCTATACTATTAATCAAGACGAAGGAAAAAAAATTACGTGACTGACGCTGAGCTAAGAGTAAAGATGGTTTCCAGATCATTGATGATCGACGACGTGAAACTATTAGAATGGCATAAATTCATGTGGCATTTGTGAGCGTCATGAAATCAAAATGTTTACGAAGGTTAAGGTTCAGTTGTTCTCTTATCAAAAATCTCAACGAAACCCAAATAAATCATACTGTCACTCTCCTCATCTAAAATATGCATTTTACAGTTTTTTGGTTTTTGTTGAATCAACCTACATATATATATATATATATATATATATATATATATATATATGGACAGGAGGAATCAGAGAGACACCAATAATACAGATTGTTATTACGTCAGAAATATAATTTCACAACGTGAAAGGGAAGCTCATGAACACTACATTCGTCGTTACAAATATAAGAACAAGATTTCAAAGTGCAGCAAGATTTTCGTTAAAAGCATCCAGGAAGTTTAGCAAAATATGTGGATGTTCTGAACTCGTTCTCGAAACCATGATACGTCGGTCGCACATATGTGACAGAACCGCATAGCTTGTTTTTTGTGTATTTAATATAAGCGCTGCAATTAGGGTTAGTAAATGTCCATTATCCAAGAAATTTCTCTTCTTTCTTTGAAAGACCAAAAAATACTCTAAAGCGATTAGAACACAAATTCGTCTTCCCTCTTAGGATCTACCTCAGACTCTCTTCTTCGTCTTAGTTAGAAAACTCTGCAGTGCCAATATTACTAAGCTATATAAACTCATAAATATAATTGTTTTCAAGCGTAACGAAAACCAATGGAAATCCAAAAATGAAAGAGTGGCATAGAGGTGCTTCAAGATGAATTCTATACACAGTTAACACCACATAACGGTGTTGTTTTTATGCAGTGAGCACACCAACTGGATAAGCAACGAGGTGTGAAAAGGAAAGACTAAGCGAAAAGTCGAAATTCTCAGTATGATTCATAATTTTGGGAAAATACCAGACAAAAACCGACACTACACGAGGTGTGGTTGATCAAAGATGAGATGTGTGCTCGATAGAGGCATGCGAAGCGACATGATAGCCGATGTGTAAAGCCGTGCTGTGGAGGGGACCATATGGCCCGAAACGGGAACTACGGAGGATGTCTAAAACGAACTTCCTCCGCGAAGACACTTTTTGCTGCGTTCGCATTTATCATGCTAGATGTCTCTCGCTCTCGTCTTTACCAATTCTTCGAATGTTTCCGTAGAATTTCGATTCTACTGCATATTAATCTTACTAGCCGTCGCTCACCGATGTCAGCTGTGGTTGACGCCGAAAATCATTCATTTCAGCGTGATGTGTAGCGGTTTGTCGTTCAACGACTTCTCATACTATACCTACAGTTCCCATTATTTTTCTTACATCCAAAATTGCCTCACAACTGTCACAAATTCCACTTTCTTCACTTCTGAAAAAGATTAGTAACCAGATTCCACCTATCACTTAACATATCATGATGAATATTAAACACTCCACACATTCTTCTTCAATCCAACTAGTTCCAAAGGAAATTCTGCCTCGCACCTAGACGTCAACCACTCAGGAATTTTTCTTAAACATACGGAGATGAGTCACTGACTGGAAATGACGTCAAATTGAAACGAAAGTGACAAATGATTGTACAAGAAACTCAAGAATGCTACTCATTCGACTACGCTATGATATCATAAAAGTAATATGGATAATCGAACTGTCAACATCAATTTCATGAAAAACGCGTATTTTGTTGATTTACGACGATTAGCGTAAGAAAATCGGCATCGATGAGTTCCTCAACAGCTAGAATGATTTTAAGAAGTCTAAAGCATAAGATACGTAAGTAGCAGGATAGAAAGCCTTTTCCATTCTCTTCACCTTTCAGGAAACCATTATTTCGTTATTTACTACCTAATTATGCTATCTAAATTCATATCATGTCAAATTTTTGCTCAAGAAAACAGTTGACAAAAAAAGCTGATGTGTCCACGATTTTTATACTGCCGTTACCATCACCAACCACAAAATAGTTTCAAAATTATGTCGAGTACACATAATAAGACATAAACACCGTTCTGAATTTTCCAGCTCAGCAATACTTCAACCGCTTCACAACCCACGCCATGACCTATGATGACAGAACAAGTCAGGTGTCAGTGAGATGTTTGTGCTGAGCAATTCCTAGCCAAGCATCCGATAAAAAGCGTAAACAAGGCTCGGATGATATAGCGTGGTGGGAGAAGAAATTAGTAGTGATTATAAATAGAGTATTAAGAATAGTTACAATATTTGCGAGATTGTCTAACTAACAGAATAAGGAGAGATGGCTAACTGTAATATATCAGTATTCGAGTAATACCCAGGAATTTTATGAGCACATGCAGCTCAATGGTTAGGGGTATTCTGAAATCCACACTGAGTTATTAGTTCGATATCGGGTCACTCACTGGCTTATCAAGACCAAGCCCTCCATCTTTCCAGTGTCGGCAGATCGGTTTAAAGTTTATGGAACATTGACTGGATAAATTGACATTCCACCACAAGTCAACGCATAGGCGAGATATGCATTTTATCACCTATAAAATGCTGCGAATGGAATCGAATGCATGGTCCATCACTAGAGATCAACGCTGAACACTTTATACTTATTCTTCTACGCAAAAATTTTTGTAGAACGCACAAGAAATTACATGAAAGAATCAGGCAAATAAACACAAAACAAACAAATACAGATGGTAAACAAACAAATCGACGACAGCACAGATTGGTTAGGATATGCACATTTCCGATACAATTTTTCTATATTCACGAAAGAATACTGTAACATACTGACCAAAAGAAAGTGAACAAATATTGTACAAATACGATGTGTTTTTTAATGGGTGTCAATACTAAGACTGAAACATAACTGAGTGAGTTTATAACTGCAGTTTAAGACGAACGACTAAGGTCTATTTATATTTCTTCACTAAGGTAATTCGTTTAAGTGGAACATAAAATTTTAGCATATAAAAGAAAACA